GTATAAACAAAAAGAACTATATATATATATATATAAATGGCCCGACTAGCAATCTGAGGGTCGCGGGTTCGAATCCCCATCCTACCAAACATGCTCGCCCTTTCAGCCTTGGGGGCGTTATTATGTGACGGTCAATCCCACTGTTCGTTGGTAAAAGAGTAGCCCAAGAGTTGGCGGTGGATGGTGATGACTAGCTGCCTTCCCTCTAGGGATGGCTAACGCAGATAGCCCTCGTGTAGCTTTGCGCGAAATTAAAACAAACAAACAATATATATGAATTATATTTATTACATAATGAATGACTTTTCTATACAGAGATAAAAACTATGTACCATGTGTCTGGAAACTCAGTCAACAAATTTGGAAAAACAAGCAGTTTTTACTGACATACTTTTCAGACGTTATATATATATGCATATATATATACCATAACTAACTATGAAACTAGCCATCTCTATAGGTGTACACACACACACATATTTATGTGTATACATATATTAAATCATATAACTACTTAGAACCTATCACCATTCATCTATAACAAAAATATGACTCCTTATATAAAACTAAAGCTATAAATTAGATAACTAAACGAACACAAAAATATGACTGCTTATATAAAACTAAAGCTATAAATTAGATAACTAAACGAACACAAAAATATCTTGATTTCATTTCATTTCTGTTTTTCACGTAAGAGATTTAATCTTGTTAATATTAGGGTGATTTTAAGGGGCCGATCCAGGATTTCAAAAGTGGGAGGATACAAATGAAAGGATATCTGTAAGCCACCCAAGGGTAGAGAGCCTGAGAAGGGTTCATGCCACCCCCCCCCTCAGTACTTTTTGAAATCGTTTTAAAAGTAAATTCCATTGACTTTTGTTACTCCCAAATGCAAACTATCAAAAATAAATCCAAATCACCAATACTTTCTGATTCCATCAAGAACATCTGTTGAATCTGGAATCAACTTAAATCAAGCGCTACTCACTGGTGGGTTAGGCCTAAGAGGGAGCTGGAAAGTTTGTCATACTGACTCTTCGAAGATCTATGTGTGTAGGTGGTTTAAATCGATCATAACGTTTGGGATAAAAATATCTCTCAAGCCTGTATTCAACCTTTTACACATTCCACACAGTCCAGACACCACCTACATACAGGAATACGAGAAAAAATTATCCTGGAAAACGAATAGATAATATTTCTACCATTTGCCTATCTACTTTCTCTCTATTGTTATTTTCCACCATTTTTTTTTTTTTGATCCGCTACCGATTAGCATCTATGTCTTATTACACTGGCTGCAGGCTAAAGATAATTTACTAAAACGTTATTTTTCATTTGGTTACTGTATAATGATAACAAGCGATAAATCGTTTATCAATGCAACCTATGTCTAGCAGTTTGTAACTTAAGTATGGGATGAAGATTAGTTTTAAATGTATAGGTATAGATACATATATATATGTATCAACAGATTAAAAAAAACCTTCTCAAACTAATACCGACTGATATCCCTAAGCCTAACCTGGTGAGTGAGTTTGTTTTTTAGCGCAAAAATATACAATTGGGCCCCATGGGTATGAAAAGCTTTAAATACCGACTGATATCCCTAAGCCTAACCTGGTGAGTGAGTTTGTTTTTTAGCGCAAAAATATACAATTGGGCCCCGTGGGTATGAACCCCGGCATTTATCGTTATAAACCCGCAAGCTTACCACTAAGCCACCAAGGGGCAATATACTGACGCAATCAAATATTTATAATTATATTTAGTAACTTATATTACGTAATCTAATGTTCTATTATAAATATGAGTATATTAGGCCTACCAACGTAAGACTATCTCTTTATTCATAAGTACACATCTTCAGGTTCTTTACTTTCGTGATGCGTTTGCTAATCAAGTCAAATTAGCTGTAACTTTTTATACTTTCTGCAGTTTACGGTTTTGAGTGAAGCAATAAATTAACCGAAAACGAACCGTGCACTAAGGTTTTGGACACGAACCGGTGATTTTTAACGCTTGGGTACAACACTGTTTCATTCCCGCTCGTAATTCGGGTCATCGCGCGTGGGCTGACGGGAACACTTTGCTATGCAGCTGGCAAGCGATGGACTCCTGACAGTCGTTCGCTGCACGTGGTGGATGCTGCTTCTACGAATCAGACTGTAATAGTGCGGGGAACTGATTCACACTGTTTGATACGAACCTTTTATAAGAAAAGTTCCTTCAAGTTGAGTTGATTATTTTAAAAACTTTCGATGGTAAGAAGATAGATAATGAGACATGTGGTATCTCTAACGAAATGTTGGGATCGGTAAGTTTACTTTTTGATGTTTCCTCTTTAACAACGTGGACCGTTTGAATTCCCATAGTAGTGAGAGTAGGACGTGATTTAGTGGCTAGCGTGCCGAGCTACAGATCGAAAGGTCCAAGGTTCGCGTCGCAATGCTGCATAACACACCCCACACTTTGTGCTGTGGAGGAGTTATAGTCGTGACAGTTAGTCTTTCTGTTAGGTTAGGAGTAGCCGTGCGGGCGCTACCTTTCCACTGATTAGTAGTTCAAAATTAGGGACTCCTATACTTTAACCCCTATGGTTGTCTTGGCCTAGCCGTCTAGCCCAATATATTTAGTTAGGGAGATATGATTGCAGGTTAAACATACAGTTGGCTTCTCTACTTTTAGATGTATCGCTTCAGGAAAAATTAAAAAGTAGTTATTCTAATCCTTTGTTTTCAATGTATTTAAGTGGTCCTTTGATAAACCTCGTTAGTGAACTTGTAACAGTTGTAGAAATACTAGTCATTTAAGGAGGTTAATTGTTGTTTATGAGCACTATGTTTAATCTTGTCTATATCTGTGAGCAAAAATTAGAAATTAATATACAAGAACCCGGTTATTTCTTCGGGACTAGGTAATCCATCATGGTTTATAGATGGGAATCACAAGTACCTAGAAGAAATGATTGGTCAAGCACTAACCAGCGGATAATTAGAAATACCTATACCACATAGTTCGGCCTGGCTGATTTGTGAGAGTTTAGAACAGGGGTAATAACCCTTGCATCATTATCCACTCGAGGTGCACTCTACCACGGCTCTGGTGATAATTAGAAATGCCTTTATGCCTCTTTGAGAATACACACGAGCTGGAAATTTTATGTAGAGATATATCTAAGTTTTCTGTCGCACAGATACTCTCTGCCATCGAGTGTCCCACTTATTTCAGGCTGACCTCCTTTCCACACTTTGACATTCATTTCCTTTGCCACGTGCTGCACGTTTTTCGCGCCCAATATTCTAGTTTTGGTCCCTATTTTATGTAACGATAGGTGTTTAATGAAAGTGATAAATCATTATGTACACCGTTGTAACTAATGTGATAAAATACTTTAAATATTGTGTACAGGAACCGCGCAAGCAAGAAGTTGAAGGGAAGTTTGCTCCCGCGCCTGTAGCAATGTTCAAGACAAAATAAGACACAAGACAAAAAATCACAAAAAAATTTACAAAGTAATTTCTAATGTTAAGCAGTGAAAAATGCGGCTGTATATTCCCGCCATATCTAGTGAATTATTTCACTAACTGACAAATAACACGGACACGAACTATTGTTTTCTATTTACTTCAGTAACGACATCCAGGGGCTCCAACTTATTCCATTAATGAGACTCTAGAACTGTTACTGACTGTGTATTGTAGGCATATGTTATTTGTCTTAGCACAAAGTTACACACTGGGCTATCTACGCTCTGGCCACGGCAGGGAATCGAACCCCGGGTTTTAGCGTTTTAAGTTCGTAAACTTGCCGCTAACTTGGGGGGGGGGGGCTACATCTTTAAGAAAAATTTACAATCTTTCGTCCGTAACTCTTTAAGAATCAATCAATGAGTGATTACTTTTTTAATGTATGTTCCTTACACTCTTTCATTCTCTAAATATTAACTTCGTATCAGAGTTTTTATATTAAATATATAAGCACCTAACATAAAATAGTCATTAAATATATAAGCACCTAACACAAAATATTCATTAAATATATAAACACCTAACACAAAATATTCCAGTAATTTGTAAAAAATAACAAAAACAAAACACTAACACGTTTTCTTAAGTTTTATCTTTTTTCTAAACCGTTTTCGTATAGATGTAGCTTAAAAGTTAACGGTGGGTTCTGTTGACTAACTGCCTTTTCGTCTATTATGGTGCTTCTCAATCCTTTCCAATATCATTCACCCCCTATAAATTTTTCACTCACCCTAGTTCGATAAAAAAAAGTACCAAATTAAAATGCAGATTTTTTTATTATAACTTAAATATACATCAAACTACAACTAGAATGAATACAGATGTTTCGCTATCACTAACTGTTAGATAGGCCTAATTTACTTAATCTTTTTGATGCAATCTTTGTCACAGCAAGGTGTTGTGATAATAAACACAACCAGATGTCGAAAGCTCGTTTTAGGAATGAAGACAAGACAGAGTGTTTTACTATACATGATACGCATGAAAAATATGTTATTAAATTTGTTTTCAAACGATCGTTTAGAAAGGGATCCAAACCAGAGAGTATAATTGATAATACTCGTTCACCCTGATTCTGATCTCATTAACCCCTGGGTGAAACATTCACGCAGTTGAGAAGCACTGCTTTAGTATATCAACTCAAGATTAGGAAGGGCTATCAGCAGATAGCCCTTGTGTAACTTTGCTCTAAAATTCTTACTTCGCTGTCGAACCACAGTATGAGGTGTGATCTAACATCCAAATATTATCAGTGACACTTCGAGCATTATATTTAAATTGTAATATTTCTGAACAGCCTTATTGCAATATTTCACAAAGCACCCCTTTATGGCCCTTTGGCGGCTCAAGAGAAAGCATAAGAACTCAGAACCTTTAAAAAAAAACGGGTTCGATACCCAAGGTGGGCACAGCGTAGATAGCCCATTTTGTAGCTTCTCGCTTAAGTGCAAACAAACACTTTACGTCTCTTTAACAACCTGACATAGTTATCTTCTCCACAAACACACACAAAAAAAACTTAACAAAAAAGACATGCTATTAATTTTAATGATGTCATTCCTTTCTATTTTCTTACGAGTTTCCGGTAAGTAGAACGAATAACATTAATACAGTCACTTGTTAGGCAAAGCTGCCGATGAGTCCTATTGTTCAATACTAGACTTTTTTCTCATTATTTAATCTCATCAGGATAGCTAGGCTGTGATATATAATATCATAGTTGGAACGTTATTTACAACATACGTTTATAAGACATCACGTATAATTTAGTATATCGCCTAAACTAGCAAAACATGCTGGTTTTGTAAGAGCTGGCTAAGTTCTCTTGGATTATTCTTTAAAAAGGAAGAATTCAAAGTCCAATCTATTTAATGATAGCGAAGGCGTTTTATTACTCTTACCAAAAGTTCTACAAGTTCCGAGTTAACTAACGATAGGCTTAACTTTACAAATATCGTCTCAATAGAGATTTATCTTACTGACTTTATAGAACGTATGATACTTCTCGTATCTTTAGTCGGTTGTTGAAAAAGTTGATCTGACTTGAGTTTGTATAACCTTTCCCGCTTTTTTTCAAGAATATTCTAGTCTTTAAGCCTTACCCTTCACATATCGTTAAAACTCACTCTGGCCAAAAACAATACAAATATTTAAACTAACAGAAATGATAAAACTAGTAATGAGTATGACATTACACCAAAATAAGACTGATAACGATTTAAACAACACTATTATTTTCTGGTCAAATAAAGCAGTGAAATATACTCAAAGTGTGGTTCGAGGGCAGGTCCGAAATGCAAGTTACTGACGTGCAACGCCATGACGGAGGCTATTATTTCTAAGAAATTTTAGTTTGTTTGCGGTGGTAAGCGAAAGCGGGTGGGATAGGTGGTACGTACATGAGTCTTTTGTCCCCACCCCCATATAATCATAAATTATACCATGAATTAATATGTAATATTATTACGTTTTTCTAAGGACTCTCTGTATAATCATAAATTACACTATGAATTATTGTATAATATTATTAAGTTTTCTGAAAACTCTTCGTATAATCATAAATTACACCATGAATTATTGTATAATATTATTAAGTTTTCTGAAAACTCTTCGTATAATCATAAATTACACTATTAATTATTGTATAATATTATTAAGTTTTCTGAAAACTCTTCGTATAATCATAAATTACACTATTAATTATTGTGTGTAATATTAAGGTTTTCTAAGAAATCATCATAAGAGCCCTTTTTTATATGACCATAAGTTACTCCAAGATTTTATTTTATTTATTAAATCTAAATATAGTGTTCATTTCTTGTTGCGAGATAAGTATTAAGATAAAGATATTAACTTATACGCACTGTTACTTTCTAACGTTAGCTTTCTTTAAGTTGAGATTTATAGCTGCGCCAAAACTTTGTGTTAAGGTATCAAATAAAATGTGGGGTGGCTCCTTCCAGTTTGTTTGGAGAAATATAAGACATTATCAAACATTTATGATCATTTTAATTTCTTTTTTTACTTTTAGTTTGTTTTTGGAATTTCGCGCAAAGTTACACGAGAGCTGTCTGCGCTAGCCGTCCCTAATTTAGCAGTTTAAGACTAGAGGGAAGGCAGCTAGTCATCACTACCCACCGCCAACTCTTTTACCAACGAATAATGGGATTGACCGTCACATTGTAACGCCCCCACGGCTGTTTGATGTGACGGGGATTCGAACCCGCGACCCGCAGATTCCGAGTCGAGCGCACTAACCACCTGGCCATGCCGGGCCCTTTACTTTTAGTGCGAGCATCGTTTAACTTCGGGACTCCTCTTGTTTCTAATATTCACCCTGTTTAGTACATTTTAATAACAATCTTAATGAAATCCTATGTGATGTGTAATTTATTTCCGCCTTTTCTTTTAGAGTAGAAATTAAATGTTATCTCGATATCTTTAAAGTTAATTCTATTGTTAAATAACGTTGCCGTTCAATACTTTTAATACACTACAAAAACCTTAGTTAAAACAGTTTTATCTATGATAGAAGAATGCCTGTTAATTGCTAAGATCAGGGTGGTCTTGTATGTCCATTGGAGGAACAGTGGTAAGTTTACGAACTTACAACGCTAAAATCCGGGGTTCGATTTCCCGCTGTGGACACAGCAAATAGCCTAGTGTGGTTTTGCTGTAAAAAAAAACAATGTTTGTAGACTCAGTTGTTTGGTTTGTTTATTTAATTTCGTGCACAATTAGTCGAGGGCTATCTGCTTCCCTAACGTAGAAGTGAAAGACTACAGGTAAGGTATCTATCTATCTAGCAACACCATCCACCTCAGTTCTTGGGCTGCTCTAATCGAATAGTGGAATTGACCGTCACATTATAACACCCCCACAACTGAAAAGAAGGCAGACAAGTTTTGTAAATATGCGAAAGTTGTTAAATAATGAGTTATGACCTGTAGTTTCTTCATGTGCTAAGTGACAGGGTACACCAAAATTCTACTCAGACTTACCACTCACTATACGTGGTTTCTGAATTATAAACTTCTTTCAATATAAGGGCCAGCTACTGCCACACTTTTGCTCATGCCTCTTATAAAAGTACACGTGTAGTGACGTCACTTACATTGGCATAAGTAAGCTTGATTTAAAACCCAGAATCTATGAGTATGTAAGGAAAGAAACCATGGGTCATAACATATCAGTTAACAACTTTATCGCCATTACAGGCCTAGAAATTCTTAATACAGAAAACTTTCCAATTGCAAAGGGACAAACAGACCTTGGTCAGCTCCAGCCATTCATAGATGGATATTTAAACCCAAGATCTTATCTTATGACATTTGTGGTATTATATAATTATTTGCGTCAAAGAGAACGATATTTTGGAACCTTTTTTTTTTCGTCTTTTCGCTGTCTATATTTGATATTCTAGAAATAACTGTTTTTTTTCTTTACAGTTTTTTAGTTTACTGGTCAAGTTTAAATTACCCCATATTTAAAACCTCGTGTTTTGTACCTGTGAATTTGTATGACGTATTTTTATACCTGATTATGTCCATAGACATAAGTATTATGACAGAGTTCTTACTCGTATTTCATATGCTTGGTTCTATGATTTATTACTCGTGAAAGTTCTTCTCACTTTACACAGACTTCGTAAGGCCTAATGGAACAAGCGTGTGCAACGTGCAAGAAATACAGCTCAAGCATGTGTGTGTGAATAATTTAAGCTATATATATTTAGCACTGTGCCATGGCTTTTGTATCTGTATTCTACAGTCTCAACAGGCATAAGGCAGTTTACCACACTATCTCAGACGATTAAACGAGCTGTATGGCAAAGTAAAAAAAATCACGACGAAGAATTTTAACAGCGTGTACATTCCAATTGGTAACTTTTTTTTAATGTTTTTTTTTCATCTTACCACAACTTTAAAAGCCTCTAATAAATGTGTTATGCTTCTTTAGGCGACATCTACTTAGAATCTTTTATTTCGTGTATTTTTTATTGTTATAATAACAACAAGAGGGAATACTTAATAGCCGCGGCTGTAATTAGATCGCAAATCGGTCAAGAGATGGAGCTATGAGCTAAAAGTTTGTACTTGAAAAACGAAACAAAAATAAAAAACTCGGAGGTATCCTATGAGCCGTTATGCCGCGGCTAATTGGTTGAAAGAAACAAAATGTTACGTAATGTCGGTAACGTTAACTTGAAGTATTTCCACAGTACAAACGATTAGGGATATCTCCTAAATTGAATAAATTTAAAACTGATTTAAAAGGACGATGGCGCGTTTCTGTACCTCGTGTGATATTCGTACGTGTTTTAGAACAAAAAATGGTGAAAGGGCTAGTTTATATCATGAACATCATGTTTCGTCACGCTCTTACGTCATCATCAGATTAGAGTAAAAAAAGCGCGAAATAGCGTGAGGTAATATCTATATTTTCTTTTCTCGGATGACAAGCTAGTGGTTATTGACGTCATCATATACTTTTAAAAGTGGTATTTCTGGTGACGTCATCATATACTTTTAAAAGTGGTATTTCTGGTATGATCTTATCTAAAGCCACAAATATCTTGTATATACCTAAGTAGAAAAGTATTTCAATATTTTAGTTTGCGTTAAAACCATTCGATTTATTAAGCTCTTTTACTCCTTCAAAGTGTAAGTTTATATAAAATAATCAGCCACTGGCACACATCATTTGTGTCCGTGTTGGCTCAGCGTAAAGGTTAGGTTAAAAATCGAGTTTCTATACTCGCAGTGGACAGATGATAACCCATTGTGTAGCTTTGTGCTTAACAAGCAGGTTATTTGTTATTACTTGCCCCGATTTTCACACGATAGCCCGTTGAAAAGACCACCGAAATTTGTGCATGTTTTACGGTATTTTATGTTTGCAGGAGTTTCAACTCTACTCTTGGAAGAAAGATGAGTAACTGTTGTCAGCATGATTCGACTGTCATCGTGAAGAATAGCTAGACAATAATCGTCGTTCCCGTTTCCACAACATGGTGGTGTTGCTAAGACGACGTAGCCTGTTTCTGAAGGTGGTGGTTTTGGTGCCCCTCACGTGGTTCGTAGTGACTCTCTTCTTGGCTTATAATGATCGAGCACACAGAAACAAAGATCTAAGTCTTCGAAACGAACCTATAGAACGTAATGATGATGAAGATGAAAATAGTGATGTAGCTGATCCAGGAGTTAAAAACCGACTTCAAAAGGATGATGTCCTCCCTGCTAACGCCAATGTAAACTTGATCCGCCATAATAGTCTCGAGGTACGAAGTGAAATAAACGATGTCATCAAGCCCTCTAACGGTAAACATAAATACCATAGTAAGCAGAATGAACCGGAAGAGGGCGCAATGGGACTTGGTGTACTTCCTGCACCTCGTGATCCTGAAGGTCCTGGTGAGTTAGGGCGACCAGTTAAGTTCGATAACTTAACCAAAGAACAAAATAAATTGGTCAAACAAGGATGGGATAGCAATGCTTTCAATCAGTATGTGAGTGACCTGATTTCATTACATCGAAGCCTTCCTGACGTGAGAGATAAAGAGTAAGTATATGGAATTTTCTAATTATTTAATTATTTAATTATTCAACATAACGGCTGCTAGTATGCGATACTTTTATATATATAACGATTATGGACATTTGAATGAATTTGTTTGTAATTGACTAGTAAAATATTAAATGAACTAATATGAAACGTATCTAACACTACCCATGAGCCTCTCATAACTGACTTATTTTGTAAAAACTTTCTACTATTTGGCACCACCAGGAACATAAAGTGTCATAAAATTATTCAATGCAAATTTTATTTCATATTTCAGGCCTTTGCTAAGGTTTCCCGGTGGATCAGCGGTAAGTTTGCAAACTTACAACCTTGAAATCCGAGATTAGATTCCCCATTTTGGACAGAGTGCAGATAGCCCATTAGGTACTTTTACATTACAAAATAAGAACCACAATCGTTGTTAAACTACAGAGCTGCGAGTTGGTCCTTTGATAAAGCACTGGAGCTGGAGATCCGGTTTCGAACCCGTGTCATACCACTAAATATTCTCCTCACACAATTTAAGATACGGGTGCGTAATAGAGTGACATTCACTCGATTAGTGTGGAGCGATAGGGTGATCTGACTGGCTCTAACTTCTCCGTAGTTCAAAACTAGAGATGGTAATAAATGCCCTTAGTAGTTCTGTCGTAAAAATAATACAATTAAACTGAAAGCGTTTTTTACGAATTTTAATCTATAGTCCCTAGGTGATGAGTTACTGTAGAAGAGTAGAACTATTCCTTGTCTGTAGAACGGTAGAACTGTTCCTTGTCTGAACTACTGTAGAACAGTAGAACTGTTCCTTGTCTGAACTACTGTAGAACAGTAGAACTGTTCCCTGGTCTGAACTACTGTAGAACG